GCTTGAGTTGAGTCAGAGCAGAGGTTTATCAGAGATGCAGTAGCACCAAACTGCAGGGCACTGTCCCTGTGTTGTCCCCTAAGAAGGTTTTGTTGGTGGGCAGGGCCTGCACTCAGACCAACTGCCTGCCCCCAGGCCACTGCTGGGGTCACAGACTGGTGTGTGGGGTTATCTTTCCCCTCCCTGGAGCAAGACTCACTTTGGAGTGGTGCTGGCCCTTGTCTGCGCTGTGCGCACATTGCCAGGCTTGTGGCACCACTTTGATGGGATCTTACCAAGAGCATTTGGAGGGCATGGATCTGCTTCACTGTGGCCTCTCATCTGTGTCGGGCTGTGGAGAGTCTGTCCTGCCAGTTTTCTGGCTGCTTTCTGGGTTATTTATGCCGATGTGGGTGTTTTCTAGGTGGCCACACAGCAAGAGGTGAGCCCAGGGTCCTCCGACTCCGCCATCTTCCCGGCAGCCTCTGACACAGGTCTTTTTTCTGTCACTTGGTCGTAAGTAGAGAGGATCCCCCCCCCATCCACGGGGGTACATTCCAAGACCCCCAGTGGATGCCTGAAACCAGGCCCAGCACCAAACCCTGTACATATTAGTTTTTTTCCCAGACATACATTTGTACAGTAAAGTTTAATTTATAAATAGGCCCAGTAAGAGATGAACAACAGTAACTAATAATAAAATAGGACGATTTTAACACTGCAGCGCAATATTGTGAATGTGGTCTCTGTCCCGTACGCGCCCTGCTTCTTGTGACCCCGTGACATGACACAATGCCCACGTGACGGGATGAAATGAGGGGGGTGACGTAGGTGCTCTGATGGAGCGTTAGGCCCCCACGGACCTTCTGATGAGGATCATGACCAGGATCATCTGCTTCCAGACCAAGGTTGACTGTGGGCCACTGAAATGGCAGAAAGAAATCACAGAGGCGGGGGACACCCAGAGGCCTTCCCATCTTGGGGTCCCCACTTTTATCCTCTTCACTCCCTGCCTTCTCTCTTCCCTCCCTGCCTTCAGCCTCCAGCTCACAGCCCCACCAGCAGTGCCCTTCTCTCCCAGCCCACACAACCACCATCTAGAATTATCCTGTGACTTGTATACTTCCTTGAGAGGGTCTGTCTCCCCCACGAGAACGTCCACTCCGAGAGAGAAAAGGTTTTGTTCTGTTCATCCTTCTTCCACCACACGTGGAACCATGCCAGGTGCATGGTGAGCTCAGGAAAAAAAAAAAAAACAATAAACCCTCCTTAGGTATACCTGGACTCCTCATGGAGTTCTGAGACTGCTTGGAAACAGGATTCCCCAACCCACTTTAGCAGCACACACTCCAGAATGTTCCATGAAAGGAGCAGAGGGTGCTCCTGGCTCCACAGCCTCCCCGCCGGCCCCAGCACCTTCTGCACGTCTAGCTGTAGGGTCGTCCAGAGCCTCAGCCGATGGTATTTTCCTCCCTAGCGCATTGTTACAGTCCGTGTTTAACTCTAAATTGTTGTCTTACGAGAACTAGCAGGGAATTTTTCGGCTGATCTCTAGTGTAAATAGAAGAATATCCTAGAAATATAAAAACAGCTTCCTTGTTTATAGATGGCCACCTTCTCCCTGTGTCCTCCTGTAGCAGAGGGGGGAGGGAGCCCCATGGGGCCATAGAGGCACGGATCCTGTTCATGGGGGCTCCACCATCACGACCTAATCATCTCCCAAAGGACCACCTCTTAACACCAGTGCATTAAGGATTGAGCTTCAAAATAAGAACTTTTCGGGGGACACGGACATTCGACGTATGGCAGCTCATTTAACAGAACTACATCTCAAGAACAAAGGTCAAATGAGGGCATTTTCAGAAGAACAAAAACTGAAAGCTCTGACTACCAGTAGCCCAAATGAAAGACCTTCTAAAGGATACAGTTCAGGAGGAATGAAATTGACCCCCAGAGGAAGGTCCGAGATGCAAGAAGGCATGCACAGGGCGGAAAGGTAGGTGTCGGTGAACCTGGATGCTCACTGTGCAGTAAAAGTAGTTGCCTAATAAGCAGGCTTAATGAAACCAGAACTAAAATCCACACCGTAAGAGCATGTGAATTAGCAGACACGTGACTTGGGTTAAAATAGTCCACGGTGTCTGCATATTCAGGCAGGGCAGGGAGGTGGTAATGGTTAAGATACTCACACGAGACCATCAAGTTTCGGGTGCATAGTAAAATTTCCAAGATAATCATTTACGTTTTTTTTTAAGATTTTATTTATTTGACAGAGACAGCGAGAGAGGGAACACAAGCGGGGGGAGCTGGAGAGGGGGAAGCAGGCTTCCCGTTGATCAGGAAGCCCGACTCAGGGCTCGATCCCAGGACCCCGGGCTCACGACCTGAGTCGAAGGCAGACGCTTAACCACCCAGGCGCCCCCTCAAGATGATCATTTAAAGAATAAACACAGAGGCTATAACTTTCATCCCAGGAGAGAGAGAAAAGTACTAAGAAAAAAAATTTCAATTTTTACAGACCAGAAAAGAAAAAATGATATATAGACTAACCAATGGATAGATGATAGATAGATGATAGTTCACAAGGAATATAAATGGAATAACCATTCCAATTAAAGATTGGAGTGGGGGAAATCCAGCTACATGCCCTTTACAAACAAACAAGAGAAAACAACCCCCCAAAAAAAGCTAAAACGTAAAAACACGGAAAGATGAAAGGTATAGGGATAGAGTAAGCCACATCAGGCAAACACTAGCAAAATAAAGGTAGAGTGGCCATATCAGTACCAGATAAGTGGTCTCTAAGTCAAAAAAGAAGTGATTCGGGATAGAGAAGATCACCAGAGAATGATAAACCTTCACCTCACCAGGAAGATAGGATTGGAAGAGAATGGGCACCTAAGCAAATAACTTGGCACTAAGTACTACAGGTGCGTCTCCACTTTCCACATGGAGGGTTGTGCCTGTGGGGGGCCAGCTCAGCCTTTGGCTGCTGCGTCCAGAGCCAGAGAAAAGGATCCACGGACTGGCAGGTCCTCCTCAGCTCTCCAGGCACATAAGGAAGGAGGAGCTGGAGTCAAAGCTGCTTCCCACACTCCCATGAGAGGCCAGGTGAGTTAGGATGTGAGTTCTCATTTTATGGGTTGGGGCGGGAACACAGAGAAGAATGAAGGAAGAGTTCGAATTCAGAAGGCAGAGGTCCTGACTTTGCTAAACCCAACATTCCTCGAATTTTTTTCTTAGCACCTTAAGATCTGGAGAATTTGGACAAACAGCAACCTGATGCGATGCTTCCGTTTCCAAGACGAAGAAACAAAGTGCAGGGAGGTGATGCGGCGAGAGGTAAGTCACACACACAAATGATGTATCTGTGTGTGCATATAATCATTCATATTCACACAGTGACCCAAGGGAGATTTTGAAAACAAATGAATCTAAATGTTAAAATGGCAAATTTCCCCTGAATAAAGAAAGAAAAAAAAAAAAAAAAAACCTCTATCAGGCCCGCAAAATTAAAAAAGGCACTGCGGTAGGTCTGCTTTCGCTCCGCAACGGGCCAAACAAGCAGGCTCTTAACACCGCGTGCACCACACTGAAATGTCAGATTGCTTCTGACTCGGGTAATTCATCACTGAATTGAAAGCATTACATATGGGAAGAGCAAAAATCTAATTCCAGCTCATTTCAATAAGAATTGATCTAAGAGTTCATTACATAAAGTAATTTTTACCAGCACAACTTCAAAGGCGTGCTTCAATGAGGATTAGAATCTCTCCTGATAGCTGAAACTGATAAGGGGAAATTTGCATACGGAGAGCACAATACTAAAGTGTACATCTCTTGTGTTCTACATAACAAGTTTTTCTAATGTTTGCTCCATTGTTGGAGATAAAGCTTAGGCCTGACGAAGTAGAGTTCTGGGTTATTTTTAAAAAGGGATCTGAAATCCAGGTTCATGTGTCTCTATCTCATGCAATAACTTAAAAGGAATTGCATATAAAGCACTTAGCACAGGTTGAAGTTCTTGTTGAAAGGTAGCTTTTAGCAAAGCTCTTCAAACCTTGGTTCACTGGTCTGAGATACCAAGATAGTACACCTGGCCTCGTGTCCGTAAAGATCCAAAGAGTAAATATGTGTGGGGTGCAGTTTCTGCTAGATCCAACCACTGCCCCTGGGCGGTGGGCTTGCATGAACGCCTCCAAGATCCGGATCCCCAGCTTTGCGCTTGATTGGCATCTGCACTGGGGCTCAAGCACCCGAACCCAGGCCCCCAGTTTCTCAGGCACAGCAAACAATTCTTCCATCTCTCATTAAATAGGCTTTCTGGACTCAAAGAGCAGGTCTCTAGCCAAATCCTTGGCTCTTCACTGGGATCATCAGGAGTGGGGGTGGGGTTCTTAAAAAAAAAAAAAATGCCCAGGCTAACCCCAAAACCAAGTAAAACAGAATCCCTGGGCATGGGACCCAGATGTCAGCATATGTATAAGCTCCCTGGTGATTCCAATGAACGGACAAGGTTTTGAACATCTGGGAGCTAACGGGTGATAGAGAAACAAAGCTAGAAGGTGTAGAATGGTGCAAATGGTTTTCCCTATGCTTGTGACCCCAAAACGTCTCCTAACAGCTTGAAGGGCAATGTGAGCAAGAGGTAAAGGAGCCAGAGTTTTTCCCCCAAAACACTTTCCAGTAGCAAGGTCATAGGGAGCTCTGCCGAAGCGGGCTTTCTAGTTAGTTAGCACAGGGAAGGTCAGAAAACTCTTTTCAGATCACAAAAAAGCCCTGATTTCAGCCTCTGCCTTGGTCAGCAGAACAGAGCACCTGTCCAATAAGAACCCCCTTCTTTGACTTTTGTCCCTTGAGACCAGGCCCTTTTTTTTTTCTTTTTAAGATTTTACTTATTTATTTGCCAGAGCGAGTGAGCACAAGGAGGCAGAGCGGCAATGAGAGGGAAAGGGAGAAACAGGCTCTCTGCCAAGCAGGACCCTGGGAGCATGACCTGAGCCAAAGGCAGACGCTTAACCGACTGAGCCACCCAAATTGGCGTTTCTGGAACTGTACTATCCTGGCCAAATAAAGAATGAATGAAGAGGCAGGAGGAGCAGGTAGGAGCTGATGGGTGAAGCCAAGGTCAGGCATTCCTAGGGCCGTGCTTCTCGTGCCTCATTCCCAGCATTTCTGATTCAGTGGCTCTGGAGTAGGACCTGACCACCTGCATTTCTACATGTTCCTAGGCTAGTGGTTGGGCTGCACAGTGAAATCACCCGGAGACACGGGACCCCGCCTCACTCCTCTGCATGGTTCAGTTGGTCTGGGGTAGGACCCAGACATGAGCATACAGAAGCCCCCAAAGGATTCTTGGGTGAAATCGGAAGTGAGAGCTGATCTCTGTTGCTCAAAGTGTGGGCCAGGGGCTCGGCCCCATCCGGAACGCGTTAGAAATGCAGAGTCTTGGGCTCCATTCCAGACCGAGAGAATCCGCGTCTGCATTCTGACAAGATCTTGGGTGATTCTCGCGCCTGTGAAAGTTTGAGATGCACTGACAAGTAGCATCTGGCCTGAAATAGGATTCCAGAAGCATCTGGAAGCATGGGGGGAGACGGAGTCCAGACCCCAGGGTGAGAACTCAGAGACAGACACAGGGGAGGAGAGAAGTTCATTTGTTCATCCAAATGGACCATAAGGACCCACAATGTGTGACCCGCACCATGTGACCATGACCCTCAGTGTATGACGGATACTGCTGGGTTAAGTGCTAGAGAATCAGGGGGCCTCATGCCATCCAAACACTACAATAAAACAAGGGGCCTTGAGCTGTCACCTTAAAGCTCTGGAGGTGCTTCTGATCCAAGCAGCCTGGGTCAGGAACTCGTGAGCGCCCCGAGAGCAAGGACACCATCCCGGCACACGGCCGGTTCTCCGTCAATGCTGAAGGAGGAGTGCCCAGTGTAGCTGTTTTGGAGCTGGACCTTCCAAGGTGGAGAGGGTGACGACGGGCAGAAAGGGGAGAGGCTTAAGGGGATGTCAGAGGCTGGAGCAATCAAAGGGCCAGGGAGTATTTTAGGCTTTGGAGACCATGTGGTCTCTCAGCTCTGCCCCCACCATGTGAAAGCCTCCACAGACGAACAGGCCTGCTGTGTGCCAGTCCGAGTTTATCTCCAGCAACAGGCTGTGGGCTGCGCGTGGCCGTGGCCGTGGCCGTGGCCGTGGCCATCCGGCCCCTGATCTGGAGCAAGAGGGGAAAGCAGGCTGAGGTGGAGGCACACAAGGGCGAATCAGAGGTGGCTAGCAGGCCGTGGGAGGCCTTCACTCCAGAGCAAAGGGGAGTGGACCTTGAAACAGGAGTGGCTAGCTGGTGCAGGACTTTGGAGCACACAGGGAGCGGCTCACAGGCCAGCTTGTGGGGAGCCACGGGGAAGACTTTTGTCGGGGGAGATCAGGAGCTGGGGAAGGGAGATAGGCAGGGGGCCAGGCAGACGTGGGGATGGTTCCCAGAGTGCTGGAGAACAGGGAGCCAGAGTGAGGAGGTGCTCTGGCCGCGGGATCTGCAGGGCTGAGGGCCGGGAGGGGGTGTGCGGGGGGACTCACAGACAAAGTCGGTTCCTGGTCCCAGGGTCACCGGGTTGATGGGGATTGCTGTGGCCAGGCACGGGGGGCGGGGAGGGTGCAGCAGGATCTGCCGGTAGGAGGTGAGCCAGATCTGGGAGCTCAGGGGAGTGTATGGAGCACAGCCGGGCCCACCACCGCATGTCAGCCCCCATCACACCGGAGCACCCAGGCAGCTGCAGAAAGCGTTCCAGAAAAGCAGGAGGAAAGGTTGAAATGCAGGGCTTGCCTGAAGGTTGCTCTTCTGATGGATGTGAATCTGGGAGACAGAACTCACCCAGGACTGGGCAGGGGATCCCAGCCCTCCAGGGCTGGAAGGTGCCTAGGAGCCGTGTTCCGCCAACCTCGGAATGCCACGAAGCCCCTGGGGCTGTTGTGAAGGAAGGGTCTGGCTCCGTGGTTTGGGTGGGGCCGAGACTCTGCGTTTCTAAGGAGCGTACCTGTGATACCTGCTGCTGGCCCAGGACGAGGCTTTGAGAATCAAGGCCTTGGAGCTGGTCCCCACCTCCCCCTCTTGCCTCCCAGACAAGGGCGGTGAGACCCACTGAGACCCACCTACTACTTGTGGGGTGGCCATCATACCAGCCCCTGGGGACGCTGAGGAAATATGAAAACTAGCTCGTATTGGAGTCCTTGTGATGTGGCGGGCACTGTCCTATTCACATTGTGACTCATTTACTCCTCGCTGTGGCCCAGGAGGCGGGTTCCCCTAGGGCCCCGTTCCCCACACGATTTGGTGACCAAAGAACAAGGGAGCCACACTCCTGAGCCAAAACTCCATCCCTGAGGCCCACAGAGGGAAGCCATGTCCGCCCCCCACCCTCGCCATGGCAGGACCACCAGCCCCAAATGGGTGCATTCCCCCCACCCCAGGCTAGGTCACCTCTCCTGGAAAATTCCAAACTTCGGCTATGACGTTGGACCCGAGGCATAATGAACCCGCTAAGTCGGGTGGGCTGGTGCGGGGAGCCGCCTGCAAGCAGGGACACGGGGGCACTCGGAGAAGTCTCCAGCGCTGCTTCTCTCGGCACTAGGTCAGCCCTTAGAAGAGACACTTCCGTGGAGCTCCTGCAATGCAAACAAATGCCCCCCCCCAAAAAAGGGAAATAATTTAGTGGAGAATTTTGTGGCGGGTGCATATTTTATGGGCATCACCTTCAGGAGCTGCTCCGGGGCCCGGGGGCGCACGCGCTGCGATGCTGCCACCTAGTGGCGACTGGGGGGGGGGGCAGCAGCTGCTGCGGAAGTGAAGCGTCCAACCCCCCCACCACCACCACCCCACCGAAGAGGCAGGGGAGGCGGCATCCTGTGAACAACCATTCTGGGCGGTGGCTGTTTTTAGCTGGGTCTCTCCTTCTGTGCCACTTCCATCATGGAAACTGGCTCTCTAGACCCAAAAAAAGCCGCGACGTGCTCTGCAAAAGCTGTTCGAGGGCCAATTTTAGCTGCATTTCTTGGAATTTGGGCTCCCGGGAGGGAGGAGGGATGCGTGGTTCCCAGGAAGTTGGCAGCTTTTGAGAACCTAGAACCCGGAGGTTGGTTCTGGCCATGAGCGTGTGAGATTATGGATCCCTTGGGTTCCAGCCCTGGTACCCGGCCCTGCAAAGGAAAATGTATTTCGGGGGGGGGGGTTAGAGGTGGCAGCTACTGTGTCCTTGGGAGCTTTACCCTGTGCTATTAAGAGCTCTCTTTACATGGACCATCTCACTGATGCCTCAAACCCTAAGAGGATATGTACAAATTACACCCATTTTACAGCTGAGGAAATCAAGGCTTGGAAAAGTTCAATGACTTAACCAAGGTCACAGAGCTGGTAACTAGCAGAGAGCCATGATTTGAATTCTAGAGTCTGCACGTTAACCCAGAACCCAAACAAAGCAATGGATTCAGGAGTTGAGAGTCCTGAGTTCATCCACACTCTGCTGCCAACTCACTGTGTGACCCTGAGTAAGCAGATGAACCTCTCCGGGTCTGTTTCCTCTGTGGTAAAGCAGGTATGGTATTGATGCATTCTGCTACTCAAGGCTGAGAGGGCATCCAAAGATAAATCTGACATCCTTTGAGCCAGTGGTTCCATTCCCTGGCCTGGGGGCCACCCAGACCCTCAGATTCTTCTAGAGATTCCAGGAGATGGATGGAGATACACTCAGGACCCCCGCATGGAAAGGAACCCCTAAAATGAGCACTGCCTTTGTTTAGTCCCTGGGAATCCATACAGCAAATCAGCCCGGCCCCCAGTTTCTGGGGTTCCAGTTCCCACCCTGCCCCTACTCACCTTTGGGGCCTGGTTCTCACCTGTCAAATGGGGTTTGACTCTGGCACTGACTTGTCGCGTTGTTCCAGGATTTAAAACTGCGTGCTAGCGAGTAAATCTTCCAGGCAGGTGCAGGCACTAGAATAAGCCTCTCATCCTGATTTGTCTAGGACTTTGCCCGTTTTAACTTTGATGTTCCGTGTCCCAAGAAACCCCTCGGTCCTGGGTGAACCAGGATGACTGGTCACCCTACAGGAAACACAGCACAACCCTGACCAGCAGACTAGATGTCCCCATTCTCGACACCCCTCATGGCCCTTTTCATGGCTGGAAATGATCTGTGTGCCCACCTCCCCCAGTAGATATAGTCTTGTCTGATCGCCACCATGCCTGGCTGGGGGCTTAGCCCCTGTCAGTCCATCAGCAAACCACAGGGAGTAAAGAGGCCTCTGTATCAGGTCCTCTTGCTAGGCCCTGGGAATACAAGATAGCAGAGGCCGTGGCCATGTGGTCGTTAAGGGTTGTGATGGGGTAAGCGCATGGGATCGGGGAAAACCACAGAAAGGACCATAAGCTGGCGTGAGAGGACAAGTGTGTCAGAGAGGTCTTAGGAGGGTCTGACCCAAGGCGGGCCCACAGGGCTGAATTATTCAGTAAGGAAGAGAAGGGAAGACAGAGGTTTTGTTGGCCAGACGACAAGCCTGTGCCTGGGGTGTCAGCCTGACCCCAAACCAGAAGGCAGTCTCCCAAATCCCAGAAACATCCTCCATCTCCCCTTCCCAACACCACCCAGTCCCTACTCCCCTGAGAACACAAAGGAGACATTACCTCAGTCCACAGCTCATAGCCTTTGTCCTTGTCCCCAAAGGTCCAAGTTCATACCTAAGATCTTGGATAGGGCACGGGAAGAATCTCTGCAACCCCTAGGCCAAGCCTCAAAAATTCTAAATTATTGGTTTACTATATAGGTGGAAGGACAGGCTCACCGTTCCCAGCTTTTACCTTATTTACAGGTGGCTGTCGCCCAGCTGAGATCTGGGAGCACAGCTGATTATTGGAGTCATGACCCAGTGGTTCTCAGCTGGGCTCATAGCATCTTCCGGGGAATTTTAGGGGTTCCTTTAGGATGTCTAGAGACGCTTCTGGTTACCCCGTCTGGCGTGGGGGGGTTGCTCCTGGCATCTGGTGGGCAGAGGCTAGGGGGGTTGCTAAGCACCCGCAGAGCGCAGGACGGCCCCGCAACAGAGTCCAAAACATCATTACTGCCGACGTTGAAACTGGGCACTGAGAGCTCCACAGGAAGCCACCGGGCAGCCGTTGACTGTTGGGTGACCTCCCGGATAGAGATTGAGGGGTTTCCTGTCTGAGTTTATTTCCACGTTAGTGCATTAGTCTTCCATGTGACTTTTAATATTCTTCCTGGTCCCTGACCCTCAACGCTGACCCCATGCCTGCAGGAGAAAGATCAGGTAGCGTCTCAGCCCTTCCGTGCTCCCCATTCATTCCGCGCACACTGGCTAACAGCCTCTGCCCTCGGGAGCATGCGGTCTCCCAACTAGGGCAAGCTTTGGTCCCCTCGTGACTGGAGAGCCAGGCCAACAGTAACACCAGTGGTACCTCCCCCCTTGTGCTCCATGAGAATGGCACCCCCTAAAACACTCCAGAAAGCTTGCTCCAGAAAGCAAGTGAAGGTGACCCCCCCACCCCGAGACTGACCGCTCGGCAGCCCCATGAAATGCCAGAACACAGCAAGAGATCAATGCTACTTTAGCATGCGTAGCTCCTTTAGGGCTGACTCTGTGCTGAGGACCTCACCACCTCTGTGAAGTAGATGTTAGTATGAGCATCTGCAGATTGCAGATAAGGAAGGTGAGGCTCCGTCGCTGAACGATGTGCTCAGAGCTGCCCAACTCAGAGGTGGAGGAGCAGGAATTAAACCCATGGAGGCTGATTCCAGAAACCGTATGCTTAACGAGTCCCCTGTCAGCTGAGAAGAAAACTTCAAAAGCTCAGTGAGGAATGGGCATTTTTAGAGCTCAGGGATTTGCTTGAGGCAGAAAGTTTCTGGCAGGGAATAGAGATGGGCTCTGAAAGCATGAGATGTCTGTCTGACCAGCTTGACCTCAACACTGGAAATATGAAAAGCACCTGGAAAAGCACCTTGGTTTCCTCTTGTGGTCAACCCCAATTCGTGGCTACCACAGGGAGACGCACCACAGAGGAGCATGGGACTTGAAACTGATCAGTGACGTCTGCTTTGGGTCTGGGAGCGAGGAATAACAGCGTGCACACACACAAACACACACAAACACGCACACACCTACATACATACAGAGACACACAGGCACATGCACACAGATAGGTACATGCAACACACACTGGCACACAGACACACACGCATCTACTGCAGAGACGCACACATAAACCCATGCACAGAGATGGGCATATGCACACATCTGTGCAAGCACACAACCCATACACTCAGACACATGGACGTACATATACACACTTAACGTAGATACATACAAGGAAACACACACACAGAGACACATACAAGGCTTACTACATAAGCTGCCGAGGACAAGAGAACGCCCAACTCACATCACCTGGAATGATGACCCTACACTTTTGGGACTATTCTCCCTACAAAGAAGTCTCCCAAGTTTAAAAAAAAAAAAAAAAAAAAAAAAAGGCAAGTGTTTAATACCCGCCTCCTAACACCTTCAGTGCTGGCGTGGGCTTCCCACGTCACCATGGAAACTGTGCCACCTGGCACTTGCCATTCAAAAACTTTTGTGGCGTGCAAAAACATTCACGTATGTCAAAATGACACTGACCCATTCCAGATAGGTGACCCTAATTTTGAACACGGTTCCAAGGACTCCTGGAAGGCAGAATGTGGAATGACTTTGCCGGCACAGGGTGAGTCACCAAGAAAAAGAAGGCAATGCTGTCAGTCCACGTGGCTGCAAATTCCTGTCTTTAATGCCGCAGGCAGCCCTGCCCAGAGAAGAAGAAAAGATGCCCCAAAGGAAACCATCACCTTGTAGCTTTAAAATAAGTGCCTGGTGGTTCTCACCAAATGTCTGTAAAAACATACAGTGGAGTTCTATTTTAAGTTACGTTCCTGATCAGTTATAGTATTTCATGTTATCAAATGGGCCTTCGGAATAAATTCTTGATTTATAACATGGGGCTTCTAGGAACGATGGGTGCTCAGAAGCTCTGAGAAGTTAAGGAAGCCCCCTAAGAACGCACAGGGGAATCAGGATTTGAATCTAAGTCTGATTCCCCAAACCCTGGACTTTCTCCTCCAAATTGCCGCCACTCCATAACTCCCCTTCCTGTGACTGGGGAGTTGATGTTTTAAATCTCATGCCAGACCCTTGTCTCTTACGTCCCTGAGATGCCCCCACCCCAACTCTGCACTTCACTCTTCCAAATTATTGCATTTCTCTGTGTATTTGTCTCCTAGGGCCGCCATAACAAAGCACCATAGACTGGGTGATTTAAACAACAGAAATATATTGTCTTGCGGATCTGGAGGCCAGAGTCTAAGATCAAGGTGCGGGCAGGGTCAGGTCCTTCTGAGGGCTGGAAGGAGGAACCTGTTCCAGGCTTCTCTCCTGGCTTCTGGTGGTTTGCTGGCCATCCTGGTGTCCTTTGGCTGGTGGGGAGTTAACCCTGATCTCTACCTCTGTCTTCACACGGCTAGGACTGGGGTCCCAAGGTACTCAGCCGCTGACAAGGGACTTCTTGCCCCCCCCCAACCCCATTCAAGAGGGTTCTCAGGGAAGACCTCGCAGGAAAGGTCCCAGCTAGCTGCAAAGGGATAGCCCCAAGGACACCTAAACAAGGTTCTTAGAGATTCAAATTCTAACACTACAAAACATCTCAATACAGGTTAATGAGGCAGGTTAAAATAGCCAGTATCTAAGAAGCAACCTTGTGGCTCTGGAGGAAAAGAGTGACAGTCTGCTCTCTAACTCATTCACACACGCACACGCACACGCATGCACACATACTGCCCATGCTCTGCCCCCAGTTCTCAACCAAGGTATGGTGTGTCACAGGCAGTTTTGAGGTGTATCACCAAGTAATCTGTTGCTAATGATAAAGTGCCAAATGTTGCAAATATATGTACAAGTAGATTCAAGGTTATTCATGTGAAACATCAGCTGCACTCACTGCGTTCTGATTACATTTCTCCAGCGGGAGAGGCAAAGCGAGAACTTACAGCTAGAACAAGGCACTGGCATGGGAAGCCCGGGACGGCCTCTCTGTGCCCCTCGCCCTGTGAGATATGGATGGAAATGTCAAGCTTTCTTCTTTTTTTTAACAGACACAGATGCACATACTGGGGGTAGACCCCCGGGGAGGAAAGGAGGTACACGTGCCCAGTGGAGGTCAGGAAGGATTCCCATCCTCGCTAGTGATCCACAAATGCAAATGAGGAAGAGGCGGCACCATTACCTTCCTGACCTCAATTCCTACGGCTCTCTCACTTGCTCACTCTGCCCTAAAATCTCCTCGAAATCACCAGGAATGTCCCTGCCTCAAGGCCTTTGTACTCACTAGCACCTCTGTCTGGAACACTCTTTGCCAGTCTCCTGCATGGCTCATTCCCCTTAAGTCTTTAGTCACAGGTCACACGTATCCCGAGCCGTATTTTCATTCCCACACCCATACGCACACACTTCCCCCACCCCCGTCCCTCTTCTCGGCTCTTTTTCCATAGCATCCACAAATCACCAGATATACATATGCTTTACCTACTCCTTTGTTTATTGTCTTCCTCCCCCCAGCACACACCTCCATAAAATGTCAGCACCAAGAAGGCAGGGACTTTGTGGCTTACCTGTTTCCCTTCTATGCCCCCAGAGTTTGGAGCAGTCCTGCCCTAGATGGACAATACCTATTTGTTGAAAGAATCAAGATTTTAAATGCAGATAACCTTTGATTTCACTTTTAAGAAACCCTCTGTACTTGTTTCCTATTGTTGCCTAACAAATTAACAACTTAAAACAACACCTACCTATCAGCTCCCAGCTCCCTAGGTCAGAGCTTCAGCCTGGTGCAGCTGGAGACCCTGCTGAGACTGAAATCGGGGGGTCTCTGGGCTGCTGTGTTCTTTTCCGGAGCTCAGGATCCTCAGATCCACACTCATTCCTGTTACCGGCAGAACGCGGTCCCCAATTCCTTGCTGGCTGTCCGCTGCGGGGTGCTCTCAGCTTCGAGAGGCCACTTGTTTTCGTCTTGACGTGGACCCTCCATCTTCACACCAGCACGGCATACCCCAACCTCTTCATGCTTCACACCTTCCTGCTTCCTCTTATGCTCCCAGCTGGGAAACACACTCTGCTTTTAAAGGGCACATGCGCTCAGGTTAAGCCACCTTGGATCAGCTTTATGTCTGAAGTTAACTGACTGGGGACTCAAATCACATCTGCAATAGCCCATCCCAGCAATACCTAGATCTGTGTCTGAAGAGCCAGACGAAGGAAATCCGGGAGCATCTTTATGACTCCGCCCGCCACACCAGCCAAGGCAAACACTCAATGCAATATGCATGGGGAGATGGGGACGAGCATGCTGCAAAACTAGTTAGAACAAAGACACGGGACCCACCTGCATGTCCATCAGTGGGAAACAAGATGTATCAGCTACGGTACAGCCACACTCCAGAACATTCCCCAAGCGTGAAAAAAAAAAAAAAAAAAAAAGGAAGCAGAGCTGCAGAGCACATTTCACCTGCTGAATCTACACAGTGGGCCATGCCCTTCTCCCGGGGTTCAGAGCACCAGTCCCGGAGCAAGGCTGCCTGAGTGAGAGTCTCTGCTTCATCACGTCTTATTTGTGCAAGCTAGGTGATTGTCAGAAACTTTCTGTGCCTCTGTTTCCTCATCTGTAAAACAGAGATGATCATCCTAGTACTACCCCACAGGGATTGCATGGATTAATTAAGATAACGCATATAAAGCGCTGGACACTTGGTTGGAACAGAGTGAATGCTGAATAGAGGGCAGCTATCACCTGCTTTATAATTATGAACATCGCTCTCACTTCCGATGTGCCCGTGAGGTCTCTATTCTGCATGATATATGCCAGTATGCCAGGGTTTAGTATTTCTGTACATCCAGATACGGCACTTTTTACTCTGCTATAGATAGAGATATAGGATGTTTTCACTCTGTTATTTATACCAATAAGGCAAGTGTCACAGCAATCAGGCGCTTTACTCTGTTATTTTTAGGCAAGGTTTTCTGGATGTTATGTATGCGGTTAGGAGATATGTATGTTTACTCCTCGCAAGCCATGCAGACCCGGCATGTTTGGGTTGGCTGCATATGCTTGGCTCACGGCGCCGGCATTATAGGGAGGCAATCTCGGTAGAATCTGGAGCAGACTGGAGACGGAGATTAAGGGGGATGAGGATTCTCCCGGACACGGGACTTTCCGGTTTAAAACACAGGAAGTCGCGGGGAAGCCGGGCAAGCCAGTCACCCCACACACAGCTCCGGTCAGTGTTCTCCAAACATCACTCGTTCATACCCCACACGCATAACCACTCAGGAAAATAACTCTGGGGTCAGGGTCTGGGTTCACATCCCGCCTCCATCGCTTACTCGTCATGCAGCCTTGGCAAGATGGTTAAGTCTCAGTGCCCTCCAAATGCTCAACTGCAAAATGGGACTGATTATAAAACCAACCTCAGTGGCCGTGAGGACTATAGTAAGTAGAAAGCACCTAGAATCCTGCCTGGCCCATAGTAGGCACTCAGTAAACCTTTGCATATTGTTATTAGTGTATATGCCACCATGCCCGCTAGCTGTTTAAATATTTTTACATCTACACACTCTTAAAAGGCTTTAAATGCATGTACTGTAAAATGCAATTGCATATCACTACCCTAAATGGGAAGCCAGTGCTTAGAGCCTTATAAATAGAAGGTAACTGTAAATACAAATACATACCTCTTTCCCAGGTCAGAGCAAGTTGAGGCCCCACTTAGGGGATGCAGACACCCTTGGGAAATCCAGCCACTCTGGACCAGTGGAAACAGGCCACGAGACAGGGAAGGACAAGATGAAGTAGAATTAGGGCTCAGAACTGATTTACAGCTGGCCTGAGGACCCCAGGCCAGATCTAAGCACACCACGCCCCACCCTAGGGCCATGAGGAAGCGCCAGTAGGAGGGGGCGCCTGCCTGGCTAGGTAGGTTGAGCATGTGACTCTTGATTCCAGCTCAGGTCATGATCTCAGGGTCGTGAGATCAAGACCCAACCGCGGGCTCTGCGTTCACCCGGGAGTCTGCTTGAGATTCTCTCTCTCCCTTTCCATCTGCCCCTCCCGGAGTCGCGAGGGGCAGCGGGGGGGGGGGGGGGGGCGGGGAGAGGAAGAGCCAGTAGGAGGCAGTAATTTTCCACAACGTGAGATAAAATGCCTCTGTTCTCACCTCATTTGGGCCTCCCGTAGACAGCCTAGGTGTCTGGTTGGAACAACTCCCTGCACCGCCCCAGCCCCTTAGACAAGTCAGGTCACCTCTCTGAACCTCAGTGAACACCCTCAGGAAAATGGGCACAATAGCACCTGCCTCTCAGGATTTTCGTCACCCTGAGAGGACCAGATGGTAAAGAGGTAAACACACCTCGTGGCTTCCAAACCATTCAGGAAGCATTCATGCTCACCACCTGGCCTTTCCAGGTCTCAAGAATTATTCTGTGGCAGTTTCTCATCATGTGGCCATTCCCAAACTGTCCCATATCCCCTAGCCTCAGTGGCCTGGATGAACCATGCAGGTATATAAGCAGAAACTCTTCCGAAGGCCAGGAGAGAAGGGAGGCTAATTTTACCCACTTTTAGGTAATTGTTCCTTTTTTTTCCCCTGTACTTGAAAACCTGGTCTCCCACTTAAAAATACTTCAAACATTGAGCTTGAATCACAGTACGAACTTCAAGTGACAGGCTCATAACACAATCCGAGCAGCTGGTCATGGTCTCCCATGATTGAATAATACATTAATAGTTCTCCCCTCCTTTACCATAACATTCCCTGCTAAAAATAAACACAAACACCAAGACCCAGGGTGGCTGAGAGCTAAACCTAACCCCCACCTGGCCAGCAGCAGCACTGGGTGGGACCTGAGAGCCGGCGGACAGTGGGCATGACCAAATCCAGCCCAGCTCCAACCCTCTGATCTGTTGATTATCCACCAGGCCGTGTAAAGACAGCAGGAAACGAAAGGCCCTGCACGTGTTTTATCTGGCATCATCCTCACCACGTTTCTGCAAACTAGGTGTTTTTACCATGACTCGCCACTCACAGATAAAGAGACTGAGGGTCAGAGAGTTCCCTTGACTTGCCTGCCCAGGACAGAACAGCGAGGCAATGTCAGAAACAGGTGCAAACCCTGCTCTCTCCACTTTACAGATGTGTGTGACTGTGTGTGTGTGTGTGTGTGTGTGTGTGTGTGTGTGTGTGTGTGTCCTTTCCCACAAAATAGGTAATCATCTGTGGTACCCTCCACGTCCCCCTCCTCCTCCCGCTCTCCCTGCAGCGTGGGCACCCAGGCAAGGGGGACGCCTCTCCTAGGATTATGACAGATCAGCTGTGCATGTCTCCATGCTCAGAGCTGCCACTACACGGAGGGCTGTGCTTTCTCCCTTCGGGAGCTGAAACTGTCCTCATGGAAGATCTGGAAAGTCACATAAATAGCTCTGGTACATGCCAACAGCCACCTTCAAGCTCTGAAGTTATACTCTCCTCCCCTGAAATAACTCAGGGATTCAGGGAACGAAAGGCCTGCACTTTTGGTCTCTCCCACCCCGTAACAGTGAGGATGCTCTGTCCAGATATCATCTTCATCCTGCTCCCGGGCTCTCCCTCACTCACCCCTCCAGGCTCTCCCAGTCCATCAGTCCCGTTTCACAGAGGACCAGCTTGAAGATCAAGAAGGGTCTGTTCTCCAGTTAACAGATGGGGAAACGGAGGTCCACAGAAACTGCACTAGCAAATATGATGGTTAATTTTGTGTGTTGACTCGACTAAGCTGTGGTGCCTGGTTCTTTGGGTCAAACGCTATTCTAGATGTTGCTGTGAAGATAGCGTGTAGGTGTGATTAACGTTGACGTTAGGTAAAGATTACCCTCCAGCCTGCGGGTGGGCCTCATCTAATCAGTTGAAGGCCCTGGGTGCAAAAGCTGAGGCTTCCCAGAGAAGAAATTCTGCCTCGAACCTGCAACATAAAAACTCTGCCGGAGCTTCCAGCCTGCTGGCCTGCCCTTCGGATTTGGGATTTGTCAGCCTCTGCCATCATATGAACCAATTCCTTAAAATTAAAAAGAAAAGAAAAAGATTTTAAATATATTGGATTTCATATATATTTATGTATGC